CCGTCTATGGCTAAATCAGAGCCAAACCACCGGCCAATCGACCAGAAAATACTGCCGAAGTCCAACAGCACTGCCGCAACTTCTCTTGATTTTTACCTTCGATGAGGCCCTTTCCGGCTCCCGTTCGATGCAATTTTTACACCATTGTGATCACCATCCTTTTTTCTACAGGTTGACCAGAGCAAAATATCAAACCGCGACTCGCGCCGCAGAAGCCGCCGCACTCGAGAACACCGCTGCCGGTACCGGTAGTGCGTTTCAGTTTCTCGGGAAAAATTCATGAAATTTAGGGATAGCCCGTAGGCGCACTGTAGAGCCGATTTCAAACTCTGAAAAGTAAGGATCTCTCATCCTATCTCCTATCACGGCATTAAAGCTTAATAAATAATTAAACGGTATTTTATGACTTTATAGATATTTATAATTGATTGAGGTTGCCAATGGAGCTCGAATCTGATATATTGTTGGTTGATCTATTTTTCAGTATTAAATGTAGTATGGTATTTAATGTATTTATTTCATAGTTTCGTATGCAGAATCATAGTTTCTTTTATTATGGTTTGAATTATGGTGAACCCGATGTTGTGTTGTTGTTTGCTGTTATTATTATTTTATGTGTTTGTGTATGATTAAAAAATTGAGACCAAGAAAAATGGAAAAAAAAGGTTATGTGAAGTGATAAATGGATAATGTGGACAACCTGACTAGATATCCTAAGAGATGGTGGACGGACCGGATCCGTAGGGAACCCTACCGGAAACGTGGTCTCTCATATCGGACGGGGTATGGAGACCTTATGTGTTTTAGCGCCCATATCGGACGGGGTATGGGGACGACCCATTTCACCCTCATACCGGATGGAGTATTAAGGTTTATGATTTTGGCGCGTATACCGGACGGGGTATGGGAACGGCCCTGGAATCAACTTATTAATGATAATGGTTCACGTGTAGCGGAGAACCCCTATGGATTCTCATGGATACTAGTAGGCTGGTAAAAGAGCAAATTTGTTGTCTAATTAGTGAAGTGCAAAAGTATGACATGTGCTATGCTATTAAGTGTATATGATTTTATGATGGTTATAATGCTATTGTCTTCATATATTATTTTCACAAATCTTACCGAGGTAAGTGGATAGTAAAAGTTTTTATTATCAATAAATGAGTTGTTATAAATTATGCTTCATTGGTTGTTTTTGTTTTCTACCAATCTTTACTTCTGTGGCAGTAAGATAGTGTGATGTCTTTACTGGGCTAGTGTAGCTCATTCCTTACTTAACCATTTCAGATCAGAAAGACGTGGTTCCCGAGCCTGTTCCACAGGAAGACGGCGAGTTAGACGTCTAGAGACTTTATAGTTCTATTTATAGTTTTTATTTCGAGTATTTCTTTTAATCAGCTTATTCTTTCACATGTTGGATATGTTTTTAGTTATTGTGTAAGGGATGTTAATCAAAATTTTTATTACGCTTCCGCATTTAAGATTTTTTTTATATACATACATCTTCATTTAAATTTCTGGGGTCGTTATAAATGGAGCCCGAATATGATGTATTTTTTGGTCAAGTGTTGTTTGATTTATTTTACAGTTTTGAATGCAGTATGGTGTTTGATGTGTTTATTCTATGGTTTTGTATGCATGAATTACGGTTTTATTTATTATGATTTGAATTATTGTGAACCCGATGTTGTGTTGCCTTATTTGATGTCCATTACTGGTTTACGTGTTTATGTTTGATTGGATAATTGAGATTAAAAAAAATAGAAAAAGGTATGTGAATTGATAAATGGATAATATTGACAGCCTAACTATATATCTTGGGAGATGGTGGACGGACCAGGTCCATAGGGAACCCTATCGGAAATGTGGTCTCTCATATCGGACGGGGTATGGAGACTTTATGTATTTTGGCGCTCATACCGGACGGGGTATGAGGACAACCCGTTTCACCCTCATACCGGACGGGGTATTGAGATTTATAGTTTTGGCGCCCATACCGGACGGGGTATGGGGACGGTCCTAGAATTAAGTTATTAATGTGAATGGTTCACGTGTAGCGGGGACCCCCTATGGATCCCCATGGATATTAATAGGCTGATAAAAGAAGAAATTTGTTGCATGATGATTGAAATACAAAAGTATGATATGTGTTATATTACAAAGTGTGCATGATCTTATGATGTTTATAATGTTATTGTTTCTCATAAGTTGTTTTCATGAATCTCACCGAGGTAAGTGGATAGTAAAAGTTTTTATTATTGATAAATGAGTTTGTTATAAATTATGCTCAATTGGTCGTTTTTGTTTTCTACCAACTTTTACTTCTGTGACGGTGAGATAATGTGATGTCTTTACTGGGGTAGTGTAACTCATTCCTTACTTAACCATTTCAGATCAGGAAGACTTGGTTCCCGAACCCGTCCCGCAGGAAGATGGCGAGTAGATGTCTAAAGATTTTATAGTTTTATTTATAACATTCATCTCTAATATTTACTTTATTTAATTTATTCTTTCATACGTTTAGTACGTTTGAATTATTGTGTAAGAGATATTAA